AGCCCAGCAGGCATCCACCTGGTTTATACTCCTAACTTCCTATATTTATGTCAGTCCCAAAGATTCCCTTTGGGTAGACTTACCTTACCAACGCGTTGGATCAACGCGCAGTACCTGTTTGCTGTGTGCTGGATCAGCCCACTCATACTTACATTATCATATCCCAACATATGTACCTCACATAATCACACATGTGTTGGATCACCATAATAATTTTAGTTCATATAAGTGTTGGATCAACACATAACAATCACAATTATAACACATAGCGACCTAGCATTGGGTATTGATACCCAAACTTACCGTCATACAACATATAAGGTCTCAGAATCAATCCTTGACAAAAACACATATCAACAGACTCGGGATCAGGTACTAGACGGTACCTGTCACGGTACGGGGTACCGTCCATACGGTACCTGGGTACCGGTCCTACGGTACCCGGGGTACCGTCCGAACCACTAAGGTTCTTCCGGTAGGGCTGTCACGGTAGCCGACTACCGACCAAGCGGTAGGGCCTACCGTCCGTCCGGTACCTAGATACCGAATGGTTACAGCTACCGACAGAAGAGAACAGATAGACAAGGTGTGACGGTAGCTAGGTACCGTCCTGGCGGTACCGCCTACCGTCTGACACCACCAATTCCATATTCATACCTGTTTCGTTTTTCCAATGTCAAACAAACAGCAATTTCATACTCAACAACTCCAATAAATTCATCATACGTTCCAAACATTATCAACCTGTCGATCAAGGCCTAAGTCATGCATACTACCCTTTCCGATTCAACGACAACAATTCCCAAAACCAGAACCAACAATTTCATATACAAATCACATAGATCAACCATGATAATAATTATGAACGGAATTTCAAACATATATGCACATTCTAGTGTTAGATGTCCACGTACTCACCTTGATTCATTCGATCCAATTTAACAGAACAGATGTTGGAAATCGAGCGTTGACGGGGTTGTGTTGTTGTTTCCCAATTCCACTTGTCAATCTTGACCAGATCCACATGCTGCCCGAAGTCAACTGCCGCTACCTGGAAGTCAGTCACCGCTGCTCGGACCAACGGAGTTGACCCACCGTTGCCCAGTCATCCCCGCTGCAGCCCGATCCATTCGCCGTAGCAGAGGTAGTCGCCGGAGCTTCCTGGTTTGCCGGAACAGAGGCAGCCCCGCCACTGACCCGCCGTCGCTGGAATAGAGGTCGCTGGACAGGGGTTCGCCGCGGAATTCGTCACCCACGCCACCTGCCGCCTCCGCACAACCACCGGAAATCGGGAGGGAGCCACCAGGGAACCGGGTCGGGTCTACTCACCGCCGAATCCCTAGGCTGCTGTCGTCGCGTGTTGTCGCCGCCGATCGTCGTGCGTCTGTGTCGCAGGTGGAATCACTATCGTCGTCGTGGTGCTGCTTGGTCAGATTGAAGAGGGAGACGGGACTGGTGGCGGCGGTTTCAATCGAAGAAGGAGAAGAAACGGGAGAGGGTGTATTTATATTTCTAGGGTTTTGTGCTCCGTAATTTAAAATAACCTGTCCGAGTAAAACACACTTTTTGGGCCAACTTGCTCCCAATTGAGATCTGTTCGCACCGTTGGATTCGATTCATCGATCCATACCCAGTGATATAACTTTTATGCTCAAATGCCAATTATTTATAAGTTCCACCTGTTCCGTATTAATTCTTTTGATTAATTAATACTAATTAGTCTTTTTAATTAAATCTTTACAATTGTAATCAGATTAGTCTCTTTATATTGAGATGATTAAAATCTCTAGAATATCTTTTAATTCTTTAAAAGAATAGATTGACATAAATAAATAATTCTTATTTATTTAATTATTCATTAACTTCTAGGCCGGGTTCTAGAAGGCTGGGTTCTAGGGAAAATCACAATCTGTAGGACCAGGGTATCCTCTTAAAAGATTTTACCCTAAGTCCAGCAACCAGTAGCCAAAAACAAAGAGCTGGCAGCCCAAATGCAATCACAGATCCAACATATCCTGGGGGTATAGTCTATACATCACCTTGTATATCCCCACTTTGATTTTATTAATGATGGTATCAGCATGTATGGGTTGTTTATCAAAATAGACCCCATTTCTACTTCTCCAAATGTTGTAAACTGTGGAAAGGATGGCCAGTCTCCACAATTTCCTTTTGGCACAGTGGTTGTGCCTTTGTCTCCTAGCCCATGTAATGGCCCTCTCAAGAGTAGATAATGCAGGTGTAATCTTAAGCCAATTCTTAATAGTACCCCAAATGAGGGAGGTAATCTCACATAGGAAGAACAGGTGCTGTGTAGTTTCCTCCTCAGTATGACAAAACTCACATCTCCTGTTGTCCATGGGAATGAAGTGGAGGTTCATTTTTGTAGGGAGTCTCCCGCGCAACGTTAGCCAAACAGTGAATGAGTATCTAGGGGAAATATAAGGCTGCCATATTACTTTCATCCAAGGTCTCATGCTAGCTTTGGACCTCAAGGGGAAATATAAGGCTGCCATATTACCGTGCGTTGGATTATGACTGAACGCCTCTAAGTCAGAATCCGTGCTAGATCGACGCTTGGACTCGCCGCTCGTTTGCCGACCAGCAGTAGGAGCTTTTGTTCCCAGGGGCACGTGTTGAAGGCTAATCTACCGTGACGTAATGGTTCCGGTGGATGCCTTGAGGTTCAATTTTGATCGTGCGGCGAGTAGAATTATTTGCAGACGACTTAAATACGCAACAGGGTATTGTAAGCGGTAGAGTGGCCTTGCTGCCACGATCCTCTGAGATTCAGCCCTTTGTTGCTTTGATTCCCCCCCCAGCCGAATCCCAAACCTCTTAAACTTTTTTCGAGTTAATCGCGGAGGCTGTGACTTCAAAGCAGTCCCTAAGGGAAATGCAAAGGCGTACGCTTGGTAATTTTCTGATACTCTTGTACGGCACTAGCGGTCCGAAGGGAATGGCAACGATGCAAGTCATCCTGACGCGTGCAACTCTGCAATTGGCGTTGCCTTAGTGCAAGATTTGTTTTCGAAATGTTGTACAATGCACGGTACGCGGGCCCTCGATT